CTGCAACAGAATTTACTCCACCTTAAGCCGTAGTGAAAATGCTTATTATCAGATGACCTTGATCCCATCTTTTATGACAAGTTTTTCTTCTATATCAAACTTCCTCCCATTCTCCTTGAGGTTTTAAATGTTTCTCTGTGTAATGATGCAGTCATCTTCCATATTGTCTCTGGTTGCAAACTTGAGGGTTCTGTGAAATTCAGGTGGTGTGGTCCTGCTTTTTGTGCTAGCATAATACAATGAAAAGAGACACCAAGGCTCATCCATCCCATGCAAGGTTCTTGAGAAGCATGAATAGTTGCTGTCTTCTGGTCCAATTACTGTTCTTTGCCTGTCTCACAGTTCTTAGGATATTTCCTCTGGTATAGGTGATGGTTTCTCATATGCTACCACATCACATGCATTATGCAAACCCAAATTGAGAACTACTACATAGCCTGTGTCGAGCAAAATCAGTTCTATTAACACATAGATGGAAGGTTAATTTGACAAAAGCTTCCTTTGTTATCCTGTTCTGTCTTCTTTTGCTCTCTCTCTCCTTCCTCCGTCCTTGAGTCTAGTCTAAAACGTACTGTCAGATTAAGGTGCCTGCATTTCTCATCACATCCCCTCCCTTTTTATTCTTAAGGACAGGTGGCCCATTTGCCTTTTTTTCAGTCACAGAGTTGTGTTCCCATGCCACAGGGAAAAGCAATAGGATAGGATAGGAATAGGATAGGAAAAGCCCTTACTTCTCACCTGGTAGTTCCATGTGCCAGTTCTTGCAGAACCTCACGGTGGGGATTAGCTCCTGACAGTATGAGTTTATTCACTTCTACATTTGGCTTTTAACTTCTTGTGGTAGTTGTGATCCAGCGCCTTCATTCCCAGGAAGCCACTTGTGTTCTTCCTCAGTTTTCACACTGTTATATTTATTTTAGCACCAGATCTTTGTTATCAAAGGAACCAGCTTGCTTTTCTCATCTCACTTTGCTCAGCAGACTCAGAATGCTGTGCATACAGGGAAGAGTAGAGCCCCTATTCTGTATTTAGCATGCAATCTCAAGCTTAAATTCAAGTCTCCTCTTCAGTCAAGTTGTGAAGCTCCTCTTCAGGTTAAATGAATAATTTTAAGCTGGATCCTGAGTTTATTGAAGTTTGGTACCTTGAATTTGAGAGAAGCAGCAATAACAACCAAAAATCTCTAAGCCAACCAAACAAAACCCTTAGTTGTAAACATGGGTTTTAGAGTTTAGAGGGCAGGGGCAGACAGGATGTGTTTATATGATTAAATGAGAGAAGGAGGGACAGGCTGCCCTGTCTTGAAATTGTTGTGTGAAACACAGCCTTATTCCCTGGCTGGTCAAAAGAATTTGCTAAAGGAACCCCCAGCTCTACTTCGTTCAAAGTAAGCAAAGCATCTGGTTTTATTGTAGCCTTTGCAAGAGCTACCTGATCTGCTCTGCACAGAGCATTCCTGGAAGAACGTGAAAGACTTTTTAGAGGAGTTCTGTGATGCAAAAGAAGAAGTTGTGTTTTACAGAAAAAGGCACATATCATGTAAACAAGGACATGAAATACTAACACCTGAAACTGTGAGACTTTAATGACAGAAGAAATTCTTTTGATCTGCAAAGCCTAAGTAGTAGAAGAGAGGGCCTACTGGCTTAAGAAGTACTGTTGAGCTTTGCAAGTATAGCTGCTAGGATCAGATCTCATTCCTGGATCACGCTGGTTTAGTCAGGAACTACATGGATGATTAGACATGAACATAAGGAACAGAGTAAGTGCTTTAAGAAGTTTACCACTTTCTGAAAGTCACATAGGAGCTCACAATGTTTGTACTCAAAATGTCTGTACAGAGTTGGACAGGTTAGCGTAAGAGAACATGAAAGCTCAGCTGTGAAATGTTTCTGTGAGGTGTCGGTCCGGTTCTAGGTGCAACTTTCTCCATTGACTCAAGGAAGACCAGTTTCCATTAGATATTAATCAGCATTCCTTTGTGTGTCACCCTTATACACTTGGAATGTCAAAGCAGTTCCAATATGACAGTAATGCAGTTTCTGTGACCTTTTCTCTTTTAATGAGAAAATTCTGTGTGTGAAATAGACTTATTCTCAGTTCAGCAAGCAACTGAGTATAAGTCATCTAGCCTAGGAAATTCTAAACAAGATTAATATTTGCAGTTTTAAAAGAAGGAAAGAGGATTTCTTTGGGGTAAAATGCCGAAATACTTTTTCTATTCAAGCCCCTATTAAATATTATCTTTCCAGGTTTTAGCTGTAGAGTACAGTTGAACTGAAGAAATTTTCTGCCTGAAGCCAAAACAAACAGAAAATCACTGACAGAAATAGGGTGGGAGCCTTCCAACAGAAGGTGTACTGGTTACTGGTTTCAGAGGGGAAGAAAATCCATTTAAAGGTAAGAGAAAATGCAGGAAGATTGCTTGGTACAGCTTGAAATAAAATAACCTCTAAGGTACCTTACAGGGTTTTGTGACCTGAGGATTAAGGTGACCTTGAAGGCTACTTTAGATAATATTTTGTTTGATTCTTATTCTCACTTAGCAAAATATAAACCTTTTTCTCATAGGAATACAATGAGGATATTTTATCGGATCTACTCTGAGGCTCTTGGGAATGAAACAGAAAAATCACTTAGTTAAAAATGTGATTTTCAATTACTATTTGTGCACTGATATTATCATGAGACTTCTTTCCTAGCATAAGCCTTACAGTTCCAGTAGGATGTGGGCAGTATGAAGGCCATTTACATATGCTTTCCATTCATTTTTCAATGTCTTTTGGCTTATACTAGAGACCATGTCCCACAAAAAGCCCACAGAAATCCTACTTTAGTAGGGTTTAAATGAGACCATACTATTCTCCCACATTAAACAGGTGAATTATTTAAGTGAAACAACTGCATTTATGGGCTGTAGGAATTACTTTCGCAGCACGCTGCTTATAAACAAAGTACGGTTTCACTGGGTGGTGAAAGCAGTAGGAATCCCCTTTTTTTTTGCTTCTTTGCAACCTCTGCCCTCAGGTCCCTCCCCTATTCTGGATTTGAGTATGTAAAGATAAATAGGTACTTTGTTCCTCTGGGTCACATCCAGCTCAGTTAGGTGAGAATGGACTCCGAAGTGGTATATAACATCCCATTTTTTTTGTACTGGGTAGGTTACTGAGTCCATGAAGTGAAGGGTGGCAACAATGTGGCTACGTGCTTGTTCTCCGCTCGGGTTGCAATTATAGCCGTATTCCAGTCCATAGCATAATCCAACCATAAATGCAGCAGCATAGAGTCAGCACTTGCTATGTTTGAAACGCCCATCCATCATATGTGGCTGTGGGAGAATGGCTCTGATCTGAACATGGGGTACAGATTAGCTTCTGTTTTAAGATCAGGGAGAAGATTATGACAGAAATGAAATCTATTTTAAAAGTTGGTTTATGTCAAATTACATCAAATCAAAAAAAGGATATGGTTCTGCCCCTAGCCTGATAGAAAATAAAGGGTTAATATTTCCTTAGAGTAGTCTGAGCGATTAGGACATAAACTGTCCATTGAAATTGTGTCTAAATCCCCTGGGTGCCTTGCAAAACCTAGCCATGTTCTCTGCTCTGAAGTACTCAGAAGTTTTTAGGCTGTTCCATTTGTTTTTTAGTTTCCCTAGCTGGTATAAATGATGCAGTGGAGTTTCACTATTTTTCACCAACTGAGGTAATGGTCCCAGAAGTGGTTGAAATGGATGAGAATTAAGAGAGGATTAGAGCAATAGGCAAGAGCTGGATGGGGATGTCTGCTTAAATGTGTGCTCTGTAAGCACTTAGCCTGATTTTTTGCTTTCTAATGTCTGAAGCAAACAAAACAAGTATAGGCTGTTTCACAGACGGGTTAGGAATTGTCTGGTACAGAAAAGGCTAACAAACCTACTTCAGGAATGAAGAAACACCCCAAATATTTTAAGGCAGCTGCAATAGTAGTTCACTGCAGGTAAACCCTTACAGCTAAGCTATTTGGATGGTAATATTTCCTTTGAGATGCTCGGGTGTGTTTACTTATAAAGACGTGTAAACCCCACTGAAAATAGTCACAATGGGTGAGCAAACATTGTATCACCATTAGAAAATAAATTAAAATAAAATAAGATCCTTTGTGCTCCATGCTAAATGCACATTTCTAATCCTAACTTCATTCACCAGGTACGTAGCTGAGTCCCTCTAGTGGCATGAACATTTATTTGGCTTCAGTATGTTATTCAAATTTATTTTACAGCCACATTATAGCAGCAAAATCACAGGTAGCTTTTTTGGACACTGAGTGCTGTGGCAAAGTGAATCTTGGATTAGATACTGTGCAGGCTAGTGTTAATGAATGTAAATTGATTTTTAGCTGTGAGGGGCAATTATAGATGCACTGGAAGGAGAAGGGAGTTTTTGAAAGGATATTCAAGAACTAATTACTATCAGTAAGAAACACGCAAAGAGCAACGTAATACCCAGCACAGCCAATAGGGATAAAAGCTGATACACTAATCTGTCGTGACCTAGTAGTGAAGACTGTTTAAAAACACTGATCTCCACTTAGCTTGTAAATGCGCATCACCCTCTTTCTCACTCATATATTCTCTCTCTCTCTTTCTGACACACACACACACACATACATACGCTCCTGGATTTGCAGAAGACAGACATCTAAGGCACTTCTTGGCATCCACAGGAAAATTTTATGGGATTAAAAAACCACAGCAGTAAGTACTCACTATATTAAATGTTTATTAAGTGGCATGCTGTCAAAACCTAGATTTAATAGTAAATGCAGGGGGACTTTAATGGAAATCGGTTGTATTTGATTTTTCTTAGGAATTGCTGAAAGCTGCCTCTTAAGGATTATAACTTCGCCTTTTGCTTTTACGGATGCTTGTTTACTATCCATGTGGTAACCTCTGGACAGCCAGTAATCCATTCATTATCCACACTGATTGAGTGCAGGAGTAGTGCAGTGGTAACTACTTCACCCAGCTGATGGCAGACGACAAAAGGAGGGAAATGATGAATTCGGACAATTTAACCTCCCAAAGCTTCCTCTCTGCGATTCACAGCAACGCAAGCAATTTATTCTCAGGGCTCCAGTTTGTTCAGACCTTCAAGCCACTCATCATCCCCTGCTACTCGCTAGTGGTTTTTATTGGTGTCATCGGGAATTACCTTCTCATTTATGTTATCTGCAAGACAAAAAAAATGCACAATGTCACCAACTTTCTGGTAGGCAATCTGGCTTTCTCGGACATGCTCATGTGTGCAACCTGTGTGCCCTTGACACTCGCCTATGCCTTCGAGCCTAGAGGATGGGTGTACGGGCGTTTCATGTGCTACTTTGTTTTCCTGATGCAACCTGTCACTGTGTTTGTGTCTGTCTTTACCTTGACTGTCATAGCTGTGGACAGGTACTATGCCATGGTGTATCCGTTCCGCAGGAGGCTCACAATCCCTATTTGTGCTTATATCCTGGCTGCTATTTGGTTGCTGAGCTGTACCTTGGCTGCCCCAGCCTTGGTCCACACTTACCACGCAGAGTTCCCAGAACTGGACTTCTCCATCTGTGAAGAGTTTTGGTTTCACATGAAAAGAGATCGCTTAGCTTACGCCTACAGCACTCTCATCATCACCTACATACTGCCTCTGGCTGTCATCTCCCTGTCCTACCTGAGAATCTCAGTCAAGCTGAAAAACCGTGTAGTCCCAGGCAATGTCACCCAAGGCCAAGCTGAGTGGGACCGGGCAAGGAGGAGGAAGACTTTTCGCTTGCTAGTCTTAGTGGTGGCAGCCTTTGGAGTCTGTTGGCTGCCCCTGCATATCTTCAACATGATAAAGGACATAGACATCAGCTTGATTGACAAGCAGTACTTCAACTTCATCCAGCTGCTGTGCCACTGGTTTGCAATGATGTCTGCTTGTACCAATGCCTTCCTCTATGCCTGGCTCCATGACAGCTTCAGGGGGGAGCTGAAGAAAATGTTTGCCTGGAGAAAGAAGAAAATTGGACCCACTACAAACTGCATTATGGCCAGTGTGGTGCTGTAAACGAGAGCTTTTGGGACCGCACTTCCCTCATACTGTCACACTGTAAGTCTTTTCCACTTCTAATTAGTCCTGATTCCTGACATTTGTCCTCAGGGCTCAATTATAACAACACAAGTCCCGTGCGTAGCTTCCCCAGCACCTCCACTCCTACTGGAGAAGCAGAGGCAGACATCATGTCTCAGAAATGTCTTTACTTCTTTGACAGGAGTTAGAGGCCAAGGAGGTGTTAGCACAATAAGATACCTTTGTGTAAGCTACTGGGATCCTTCCTGTCTGTTTTGGATTTTGCTGGCAGTACAGACATGGGATTTGGGGACAGTCAGAAGCAAGGATGAATATGAGACCTAAATACCTCAATGAGGAAGCGTTTTGGATTGGGTAAAAATTAAATCTGCATACCTACCCAGAGTCCAGTCCTTAGCAGAAGTAGAGGACTAACAATATTCCTGTAGTCCTCTTGGGTTAGGGCCATGCTGAAAACAGCCTAAGGCTCTCTGAAATGCCATTCCTGAGCAGCTCTCTCAGCTGTGGGTAGGAAACCACGTTGGTAGGAGCTGCTCTGAGCCTCCCCCTGCCAGTTGCGTTGCGCTGGCAGCAGCAGTGTGCAGGGGTCTCCCACTGGTGGGGGTGTGGGTGGTATGCAGGGAGATGGCATCGGCTCACACACACTCCCTCCAAGGGCCTCTGTACAAGATGACAGGCTCGCTCGCCTGCCCGTGGCCCTCGGCGGGGTGTGCTGTGTCCGCCCCGCGTGGTTTCCTCCCTCACTGCCATTTTCTCCTTGCCGCTGGCCAAGCTCATGAAGTGGCAGCCTTTGCAGCAGGGCTGCTCACCTGCCCGCTCTGGCCAACCGCCTTGGGCAGGAATCTGTGCTTTATGCTTTTTCAACCCAAAGCTCCTGCGTCTTGTGAAACTGCAGCACAGCAGGTAGCAAGGTGAGATGCAGTATTGCAAGGGGGGACGTAAAACCGCAGTGATGTTACTTCTGTGAGGTGCGACTGCAACGCAGAGCGCGCAACAGCCTGTTTGGTGGATTTGCTGATGCCGTCATCAAGGATGGACAGACTGGAAACATAATGTGTGGTGGAAAATCATCCACATATGGGAACACTAAGACATACCATCACTTTACTGACATTGAATTGTGTTCCTGCCACTCTGTCTTGTAACCCCAATTTGCCGACCCTACAGCAAGGTGGCTGCATTCCCAGCCAGAGGAGTGGACATCATCGTAGCCTTGTCAGTGCTGAGATGCTTTCCACTCCTTCCTTGAGGAACTGATTCTGACTTTTGGCAATGCTGCCATCAACTTTGACCTTCAGAGACAGCCAGAGACTTTGATACTCTCTTCAGGAGCACTTCTGGAGGTGTCTGTTAAGAGACAGTGAGTGGAGGGGGCTGTTGACATTGAGATATGTATTGTGTGACTAGTCAAAGGAAGACCTGTCAAATGGAATGGAGTGGCAAGTGCTCTCCTTTGAAGGAGTCTTTTGGGAAGAAACAATTTCCTTTGACATTCACCTTTCAATCAGATGAGGGAGTTAAAAGCTATAATCAACCTAATGGTTTCTATTTTCTTCTTCCCTGAACTGAAAATATGTGAGGTAATAGATAACTATATGGGACAAAGTTCTGAAAGCAGACATTGTTTCTGAAAAGGTTTCTTCCAGCCTGCTCAGCCAGAATCTGGGATGGCATGAGAAACTGCCTGATACTGAGCTGAGATCAGCTGGAGAAGCAACGCAGTCAAGGGGCAATTTTGGCCATGGTCAGCAAGGACATCTATCCAATCACAACTGCCCACGGCCAGAAACGTGTGCGCTGCAAGGCAGTGCAAATAAACAAGAGGGGAGAGGGAAGAAAGAGAGGATTGTTTTCCTAGTTCGTAAATATACTCCTACTGTGAAACTGTGAATATCATTTTACTCATCAGCATTCAGTAATCTTAATCTGATTTAAAAACCCACACAGATGCATATGCACACACTGGGAAAAGCATTGGAAAAACATTTGAAATCCCTTTTCACACATTTCTTTAGAATTTCAAGCTGTTCTGCTGCTAGTAATGAGAATGTTTGAAGTGGATTACAGAGGCACTGAACGAAGGAAGTCCTTTTAAAGTGGGTATTACTTGCATTCACACTGTGTATCTGTCCACCTTGCTTACCTTGATTTAAAGATTTGAATGACCTATTAAAGTATGTTTTGGTTTTGCTGAATTTTAGGAAACTGTTTTTCCTTCAAGCTCGATATAGAAGGTCACTAGAATAGTTGGTGATTTTGCAAAGGAGAAAAAAACCCCTTCCAAACAAACAAACCACATTTTATAAGCTTTTCAGCTTTTGTTTCAGGGCTCTTTTGAAGACAACAGAGAGTAGGACACCAAGAGAGCACTGACACAACATTGCAAAAAGCAGCTTTAAATAACAAAATATCCTGATTTTTAGAGATTTTTTTCCTGTGGAATTATGTTACTTCAAGCTGTTAATTTGTTGGTTTGTGGAGGTTAATTAGCACTAAGATGGCCCATAATATTTACAATGTCATGCACTAAATACAGATAGTGCTGTGATCCAGAGTGATCCAAAGGCCAGTGGAGTAACTGGGAAGTCTCTTGTTAACCACTGCAGGCCTGGGATAATTTCCTTCTTACACATCATGTCTTTACCTTCGTTTGCTGGCACGCAGTTTGGCTTATTAATGTTCTCTTGAATATTAGTGACTGCAGATGGCTGCTGCAGAGGGCTGCACGAAGCAAACAAGAGGGATTTCTCTCTCTATTTTTTTTTTCTTTTTTTTCCTTGAGACAGAAATGAAGGGCTGTTCAGTGCACAGTGATGGGCACACTGGGAATATCTTGCTACCAGCAGCCCCTGGAGCTGCTGTTACAGAAGAGCCAAGGTCTGTCATCTCAAGGAGGTCCTCAGGACTGCCCAGCACAGCGGGCACCCTCATTTAAGTGCTGGTCTAACCTGTACATGCCTTGAATCTGTCAGGAGTTGCAGTGGCAGCAGAAAGCCTGTCCCTTGCTTCAGGCCCTTCTCAGGACTAGGTTTTGAAGATGCACACTGAAATGATCTGCGTTCCCCAGACGTGGGCTCCCGGAGCTCCTTCTCTTTCCTCAGCAACCCCCTTGACCCACCTCAGTGATCCTGCAAGGCCATTTTTCCAGACTTT